AGCTAAATGGATGAATAGATTTAAAACAATGCAATGTACAACACAAAGGACTAGTACTCAGCCTTTAAAAAGAGAAAGTTTACCACCTGCTAAAACATGGGTGAACCTGTAGGAGATCATGCTAAGGAAAAAAATCTAGTCATTGAAGGGCAAATGTTGCATGATTCTATTTGCGTAAGGGCTCTGCCATACTCAAAGTTGCAGAAGCAGAGAGCGCGGAGGCAGGGTGCAGCTAGGAGTTATTATTTAATGGCTATATGGTTGCATTGAAGAATACAAATATTTTCTAGATATCTGTTATATAACAGTGTGTCTACAGATAGCACCAAAATTTTAAGACATGCCCTTAAAAGAAATCATGTTAAAGGTTCTTAAAATTTTAAACAATGACTGTAAGTAAAAACAGCTGTATGTCACTTTTCCACAAAGCACTATTAAAGATAACATACTGTCTATCTTGGGAAAAACTGCAAGTTTGATGAAATATTCTTTCATCTACCGGTAGAAAAAGATACAGTACTATTGAAATTACTTTACAGCATTTTTGTACTAGATGCCTTGTTTGGAAACATGCTAAACATTTAATAATATTTAATAACATTACATGTTGAGGAATTATTATCTTCCCCCAATCTAACTGCAACTCAATGAGAAGAATGCTATAACCATCATTGTTTTATCAATGAAGAAACCAAGACTCAGGGAGGGTGAAGGACCAGATAAAAAAAACACAATATACTAACAACACCTTGGAAGAATACCAGTTGTACACTTGCTTGTCTCTCAATATAGTTCAAAAAAGCCACCTCCTCCCCATTACTAGGTCCATGGCAAGTTTTCAGATCTCATTTAAACACATCCTATTTGTATTAGAACAGTTAACTGTCCCCTATCCCCTGTTGGACACACATTTTTCCTGGATTTAGTCCTCCTTTAGAGAACACTGATTTCAATCTCCTTTTCTGTGTCTTCCTCTTAATGTAAGGATTCATCCAGCCTCAATTCTTGGGTGTCCTTTCGTCATGCTATACTCACTCCCTGGTGATCCTATTCAGCCTTACAATTACAGAAAGCATCAATAAGATGGGCTTTATCTCCATTCTGGATCTTTTCCCTGAAGTTCAGAGTCCTATCCTACTGCTTTCTTGATCTCTCTATCTGGGCATCCAACGGGCATCTCAAGTTTATCATGTCCCTAAACCTGCTCCACCCATGTTGTCCAGCTTCTGCTGATGGCAATTCCACTCTCCCAGCTGGAGTCAACCTTACCTCCACATTCCACATGCAATCTGCCATAAGATCCTGTTTAATGTCCTTTCATGATAGATTCATGCCATCTAATTTCTCACCACCTCTACTATTTCCACCTCGTTTTGAGCCATCATCATATCACATCACAATTACTCCACACTTTCCTAACTGGAGTTCCTGTTTGTCATCTTTTCCCACAATGATCTGTCCTCAGATGCCAGCATACTCTCCTGGGAGTTGCGGTAGCCTCAGGATTCTGCAGTGAGCCCTTTGTTTTTGAGGGTGAAAGAACTGTTGCAGGATCTTAGAAGAACTGCCCTCTGGTTCCTATTTCTCAGGATCACCTCCTGTTACTCTATGCATTGCTTCTTTTCTCTCTTTCTTCATTTGATTCCTTGCTAACATGTGAACAACCCCTGAATGCTTCACTCTTAAATAAAGCCTCAACACTCATTGTTCCCTCTGCCCAGAGTGGCCTTCCTCTCTTTAAAGATAATCTTTCAAGGCTGTCTGACTGATTATTGAACATGGCCTTAGCTCTCTAGTCATGTATTGTTTTCTGATTACATGTACAACATCTTAAGCACCAATGGTTTCAAATCCAAACTCTGGGTACAGAACAGATTTGATGTAGAGTAAAAATACTATTGTGAAGGACTATCCTATTGTAATGACATGGAGGAAATTAGTGGAGGGAGGCAGGGATTTGGGGAAGTTAAAGAGGAAATCCCAGCACCTAGAGAGCTATATCATGGAATAATAAATAAATTAATTAATGAAAAAATATATTTGCTGAATGAATTAAAGTGGTCATTTGACATTTTGCTGATACTCTGGGGATTATATAATTAAATCAGCAGTATCCAGTCAGCCTGGATGGCAACAAAAATGTGGAAAAGGGAGCTTATCAAAGCTATGGCTTTTTAAAAATGTATTTAATTATTTTTATTGGATAGCCAGTTGTTCTGTTTGATGGCAATTCCCTAAATGGCTGCCAATGGCCAGAGCTGAGCTGATCTGAAGCCAGAAGCTAAGAACTTCCTCAGGGTCTCCCAAAAGGCCAAATGAACCTGGGAAAGCAACTGATCAATTATTACATGGACAGTAAAAATAATACCCTCTTCATGAGATTGTGAAAATTATTAATAGACATAGAGAAATGGGGGGGTGGCGTGCCTGCATGGAGTCAAGTCCTTTGTTAACTACTCTGAGCGTCAGTGTTATCTTATTTTGTAGAGGTTATCAAAAGATGCCACCTTATATGAAAGAAACTTGAGTTTTGCATTTTGTAACTTGCTGATTAAGAAAACATCATAGTAGAAGTGAAAACACCTGCTTGTTTTTGTGATTATCCATGTTCAACAATTTTGCATTTGGGTGGGGGTGGGGAAATTTTAGTGTCAATCAGGACTCTGTTGAAGAGTTTCTACACAGCTTGAAAGGTAACCCTTCAAGAAAGTCTTCAATAATAGCCTACTCAGTTAGAGGATATAATTTTCTACAAATTATTGACTTAGGCAGTAGCATTTTTCAGTGCAACCAGTATTGCTGTTGCTGTCAATATTTTATCTTTTATTAATGGCTATCATTTATTGAGTGCTTTCTGTGTCCTAAGTAATTTGCCTTGAATAGCTCCCTAGTACTACTACAGCCTATGAATTAAAGATTAGTATTCTAATTTCAGTTCTTATCTCAAATTCAAAGAGAAGTAAGATGGATGCATCATTAAGAAGCTAGTGACAGAGCCTGGATTAAAAGCTGTGGTTTATACTGAAAGTTCATGTTCGTGGCACTACACTATCTAGTGGGAAAGCCATAACAAGGGTCATGTAATTAAGAGAATGGTGTGAAGGTTGACTATGTGCATTCTGTGGGGTAATTATTTGATCAAATTTCAGTGGAAACAAATGATGAGCTAGAAAGGAATGCACACTGCTTGAAATGATAAGAATGTTGCCTGGAAAAGAGAATTTTTATGGATAGCTACTTAAGAGATTCTTGTCCCATATAAATAAAAGTAAGTCTAGGTATGAAAAGCTCTGGGAAGAAATATATTTCTTTGAACTTTACATGTATTTTAAACTCTGGAGGAGTTTATAGAATTGTAAGTGATAACTGACCTGTCAATGATAACTTAGAAAAGGAAGAAACTTTCAGAATGTGATTTTTGGATAGAACATAAATTGATATGTATCACTTAGATGAGAGTGTATACAAGTAGACAGATGGATAGATAGATAGATAAATAGATGACTTAAAACATATGGATGAATTTAGTAGATGGTTTCTTTCTCCTTTCCCTTAAAGCACTTGGTTCTGGCAGAAGCCCAAGCCACACGAGTTAGAGTGCCTCCAGGACACATGTGAGAAGAGACTGGAAAGTGCGATGTACCACCGGGCATTCTGAGGCCTGACAGGCCACAGCAACTGCAGACTTGTGTCCCTCTGGCGGAGCAGGTGTCTTGGTAGTCTCTGGAGAAAGCTCAGGTAGCTGACTGTGGCCTGCAGAATTGTCTCCTGAAAGTGGAGCTATGTGAATGGAAAGAGATGCTGTGTGTGTCTCAGGCACTGGGTTAGGGGGTGGTGGGCCAGGGGGTTTGAGAAATGGTGGTACTTCAACAGGTTTGGGACATAGTGGAGTGATGCTACACCCTACATCCTGGTTAGGGGTTAGTTTCAAGGTCGAAATTCTCCGAGTCTGAGAATCTTGCCTGTAGTCCTCGTGTAGAAATGGTATAGTATCTGTGTTGGCAGTTGCTGGTGGAGAATTAGTGATTTTTTTTGTGTAGGATACAGTTGTGTTCGATTCCTCAGAATATACAATTGTTTCACTGGACTCTTTATTAGAAGACATGGTTAGCTGCAGGGGTCTTGCTAATAAGCTACACTGTAGGAGAGGGAATTTGTGTGTTAGTTACTGGCTGCTCTCAAATATCAGCCTTGGTGTGATTGGTTATAGAAGAGCTATAGAAACTGGTTTTGGGCTGTGATAAGGAGTGCCTGGATTGTCAAATGCATCCGGAGAAAGAAGAAATGTTGGAGGAAAAACAGAGAAAGGTAGTTAGTCATGAAAGAAACCAGTGATAACCATGCCCTTAAAAGAGGTAAAGCAATTTTATTCCTTCTTACGACATATATTTGGCTGGCTACATTGAAGGATCATTTGCCTTCTTTTTAAGAATGCATTTAATTTATTATAAGCACTTGCCCTTACAACAAAGTATTTTCTAGAGAATACATTACAAACTTTGTCTCCATCTATATTCTTGAAAATCATATTCAAAGTGAACATATGTTCTTTCAGCATATTTTAGACTTTGAAGACTATATGTTATGATTCACTTAGATCCATTGTTTCATAACATTTTCTATGCTTGTGGCACATTTTTACTAATGTCTTCAACAGAGAGTCTCTTCAGTTAATACAATGGTTAATTGCAGAACTCATTGTATATATAACTTATTGTTGACCTCACAATTTTGAAATCCAAAGCATTGGACAGCTTTCAGCTTTTCAAAAATTAGAGTGTGTTCTCAATAAAATATTGAGAAATGACCTACTTTTTTGAGCTTAATCAAGAAAAAATGAATACCTGTTTTGAAGCTTATTCTTTGTGTCATAATACAAATGTAAAAGACATACTTGACAAAAAATGCTTCAAAATATGCATGGTGGAAAGAGCCTCTAAAATAATTACCTAATAACCGCACTTTAAAATCACCCAATAGAGAGCAGTGTGCAGGATTACCTGGGTTGGTGACTTTTTTTCTTGTAGGTTAGGTCGAACGCTCCTAAATCCTTTTGCTGCAAGAGAGGAATATGTAGCATCTCCATTCAATGGCTCTTGATTTCGATCATTGTAAATTCTCCAAGCTTTTATTAAGGGAAAACAGATTGGATACAAAAATATCTACGTTCACTTATGGTTTTTTTCATATAATTTATCATTTAATTGCAAAATTGAAGTGTGTTTACTAGATGTTCATTTGGATATACATTACAGCATAGACATTTAAGTATAACATGAAGTTAACAATATGCTATGAACATGTTGAACAACGCTCACACAACATCAACAATAGTTTGAAAATCTTTTCTGTACCTGAGTCTGGTGACTGAGAATCACGCCCTGAAAGACAGAAAAAGTTGAATTAAAACTACAGTGAAATACATAAACTAGCTAGTAAAAAAAATAATGTGGCAAGAATTACACATATTATTTTTGCAAATGTTATCTCAGTTCTAGAACTCAGAGCATATCAGCTTTGCACATGGGAGGTTTGTTCATAATTCATCCACTATCTATAATATACAATTAGCATATATATTGATCACTAATCTTTATCCCCAATAAAACTGCAGCCATATGCTTTTAGTCCTCTTCTGCCCCCATATAGATACCTGAATTACTGAATGCCAAATTGAAGGATTACATGTGATCTGGTTTTAAACAGTGAATGTTTCTCCTGGCATTAAATCAAATCACTACACCTTTGATTGGTTAATGTCCTCTCTTCCCGAACATAGTTAGCTCCTAAGACAGAGACCATTGTTTTTGTAGCTTGCTTTATTTTCTTTTTCACTTTAGGAAATTTTAAACATGCCTAGCATATTATGTAATGTTTGTGCATTATTATGTAGACCTGAAGTTTTTTTTTCTTATTAAGTGGCTTAGAAAAAAATTACAAAGTGACCTTTTAAAAACCACTTTATACTCAAATATGAACTATTAGTAATGCATTCCATTGTCTTTCAGCTGTGGAAAATAATTTTTGGCACTAATAAGCTGCTTTTATTTTACACAGCTCAGTAATGTATTTATAATCAGTTTGATTGGAGCCGCACTCCAGGATCTGCCACACACACATTTGAGGTAATCAAGCTGTGCTGTCATGTGGTTCTCTCCCTTTAGAGTGATGAACAGTGGCCTTGGAAAGGACCCTGGGGGTCAATTTGTCTAAACTGCTGCCCACTTGCTGCAAGTATTCTGCATATCCCCTGAGATAACTTTGTAATTACTATTATTTCAGTAGCCAACAGAACATGAATATTGTATGCTAAAGCACTCTTCATTTGCCATGGTCATATTTCAGAAACAGTTATTTTGTTTAAGCCTAAATACATGAATTTGAAATGATAAAGATGTGTTGAGAACTGCAAGTGCTTTTTAGATCTTTTTGTTCTATACAAAGTGCTCTTCTAATCAAAGGGACTCCAGCTTAACTTAACTTGGAAGAAGACTGATAAATCTCATGTTTTATGATAATTGATAATTATTTGCTTGGAAATGGGCATTTATTTTCCTCTTGTTTTTTTAAATATGATCGAAATTGGAAGGCTGGGTATGCAGCATGTGCTTGGAGGGAGAATAGGAGCTATCTGTCGAGAAGGGTAAGAGGGTATTCTGAATACTTTCTTAAGACCTGGAAGGAAACTTAACATGTGTAGAACTGTTTAACACATGTGCAATTGTGAAAAGGAAGAAAAGTGGTCATGAATTAAAACTTGCAGATGAATACTAATGATTAAAGTCTAGATTTAAGCAAGTGGTGCTTTAGGGATATTAAAGTGCATAAGAATTCAATTTCTTTAAAAATAAATCCAATTATAAATATTAAAAAACCCCAGTCTTAATTTGCTATTTTATTATAGTCTTCAGAGACAGGCATTGAAAGACAGATATCTTCCCTCAGGATATAACTCAGCATAGTCTTGCTTTTATCTGTTTCCTGGTAGAAAAAACTTATGAAAGGGAGGTTTAAAGCAGGTTATAGAAAATACCCCAGATCCACATCAAGTATGGAGATCATTACAAAACAACAATTAAGTAGGTCAGTGACTTGGCAGATGGGTGGGGAAGATGGTGTTGTCCCAAATCTTGAGCATTACTGACAACCACTCAAATGCGAAAAAAAAAAAAAACCCAAACACTGTTGTTTTCAGGGTCCCAGGATCAGAGTGCTTAATTTCTAAGACTGTTTGGTCAATACACATTGTTTCCATGGAAACTCGAGAATGGCTAGATGGGATAGGTTTCTCTGTCTCTTGGCTGTCTTGAATGTGACTGTAACTAGCATCTTTGAAAATTAAGAATTACAAGTGCTCTTTATGAGCACAAGGAACTACCTCTGTCTAGGCACAGAGGAGTGGATCTCTGTCCAAGATGTAATTCAGGAGACTCTTGGTTTGGTGTCAGGAATGCAGTGGGTATCTCAAAGGTTCTTCCCAACTTTATGATTCTAACATCACAGTTTTTACATGTTATTTCTGATCCCTAGTTGTCACGTCCTAACACGTACTCTCAGGTTTTCTTTTAATTCCTCTTAACTATTATGCTGTATTAGCATCATTGTATCTTTTTGTTGTTGTTGTTTCTCAAATACTTTTTTTTAGCTATTTATTATCTGAAAGGCAGAGTTACAGAGAAAGACAAATCTTCCATCTGCTGATTCATTCAGAGCTAGACCAAAACCAAGAGCGTGCAGCCCCATCAGGGTCTCTCCCATGGGTGTCAAGGGTCCAAGCATTGGCCCATCTTCTGCTGCCCTCCCAGGTACATGAGCCAGGAGCTGGCTGGAAGTGCGGCAGCCGGGACCTGAACTCACTCTGGTGCTGGATGCAAGCGTCCAGGGTGACAGTTAACCAGCTGCATCACAACGTCAACCTCCTAAACAGTGTTTTGCTCAAATGCTGCTGGAGGAATTGTGCATCATGCAGATTAGCATGGGGTGGGCCAGAACCTCAATGGGAAAAATAAAGCCACAGATACAAGGGAAACTGGGAGACCAGCATTCCACAGTTCAAGGTCTGGCTGCCCCACTTCCCATCCAGCTCCCTGCTGATGCAACAGGGAAAACAGCAGATGTTCCTGAGCCCCTGCACCCATGTGGGAGACCAGGAGAAAGCTCCTGACTCCCGATGCAGACTGGGTCAGCTCAGGCTGTTGGGGAGTGAACTAATACATGGATGATATTTACAACTATATATGTGCATATATACATTGTACCTTTCTTGAAAATTATTGATAAGTTTCATTTTTATAACTCATTGATTTGATGCAAGAGTTAAATTAAGCACATTAATTAAAAGCAAGTAATTGAGTGCCTATTGTGTTTCTAAGTATTCCAATAAGGTCTTTTCATGAATTTTCTTCATTTACTTTCATTTAATTCTGACAGTCATCTTGAACTTAGGAAAGGATTAAGTTCTCAGAGAGGTAGGAAAACTATAAATTTTGCTTCCTTATTTTTAAATAGGAGAATTTGCGGGATGGACAGACTCGTTTTCTTGCAGGCATAAAATAGGCAAGTTTTGGTGGGCTCCTGTCTGTTGCAGTGATTTCAGCACTGCAGCTGATCCATTTGAACCACATTAGCCTGCACTGTCAAGTGTTTTTGGTAGATTAAAATGTACATTGATTGTTTCTCTCTACCTATTATGTTGGTTCTAGCTCAGGTTTAATGAATCAGTGTATGCTATGATGTTTTGTTCAAAGGAACGTCTAGTAAAAAGGATGGCTGATAAGGGGACAAATACAGCAAAAGAGACTTGGAACCTTTAATATAGGTGGTCTCAGCTTTATGTAAAGGAGGCTGTATTTCAATAATATTAAATATAATAAATATTTATTAATTCTCTTTTGTTTCATATAAGGACAGTGTGTCCAATAAGTTCTTACAAAATCTTACAGAAAGTTCTTACAGAAAGTTTTGGGGCATAAAAGATGCTGATTTCTTTCCTTAATATGCAACAAAAACTTCTTCAAAACTCATCTGAACTTATACTAAATGACACAAAAATGTGTGTTTCTTAAGTGACAATTAAATCCAAAATCTAGGATACTTCATCCTCTAGAAATCTTATATCAATGACAGAAGATTTAATATCCCAGATCCACTGCACATTCTTGTGACTGTGGCAAAAACATGTTGTGTTTGGGAGGTTTTGTACCTTTCTGTTGAATAAAATGATATGAAATTGTTAATAGTCATTTTAATCCTCCAAAATGGCAAACCAATCCAATCTAACACTGTTCCTTCAGTGATTAGCTCTATAAATAATAACAAACTGGATTGCTGAATGTTGTTTCATTACTTAGCAGGTGCATCAGAGGTCCATACCTAAGTATGGATTGGCATTTTTCCTGGTTGAAACACAAACAGCATTCATGCCAAGGATGTTTCAAATACATGATAATCCACTCTGGTATTTATTTTCTTCCTTTCCTTCACTTCTGTTTTTATGTCTAATAAACATATCTATAGTCTAACATGTTCTCATGTCCATATACATGGGTTCAGATAAATATAAATACATAGGTTTTTAAAAATCCAAAATGAGTTAACTCTACATTTATTTTAATGAAGCTTCCATTTTCTTTTAATGTAATATATTATGGAGCTTCCTAACTTAAAATTTAAATTTAGACATTGACATTCATTTATGGACTGGGGGTAGGTGGAAGTGGGATTATTCAATTTGAAGTTTATTTCCTTTCTGAATAAATCTGGATAGTCTAGAATAACATGGCCTTAAAAAGAGATTGAATATTTACTTGACTGCTAAAGGTGTATGTGTAAAAGGCTGTGACAAGCGTGGTGAGGATTAAAATTATTTGGATTCTTCATCCTCTTCTCATTTGTGCTCCAAAACTGATTCTCTTATATTTAGGAAATAATGACTTTCCATTGGCAACTAACCAGTCAACAATCAAACCAACCAAGCAGTGACTGCAAGCTTCATGTCTATTTTAGAGTCTAGAGACTTGCTAGTTCACTTTGATTTTCTTCCACTGCTGTATCTCCTCCTGATTTAGACTCCACCAGTAAGATTGAGTAAATTGTGACAGACACTATGAGGAAACCCATCATCACATCTTAGAATTATATCTTTGAGCCACGTTGATTCTTTTATCTTTGTTGTTATCACATGAATATGAAGTTGATCAGAAATGTGTGGTCATAATTATCATTTTATTTTGCTGTGATACTGAGAATCTGAAGTATTAAAACTACTTTAAAAAGGATTATGTAAATTACCTACTAAATCTGAAAACATAAAAAAACTCATTGATTGCTGAAATAGCATATTTTGAAGAACTTTTTAGAGTATATTTATATTTGTGGGTACATATTTAGTCTTAATTGGTCAAGATTTTGTTAAGCTTAAAAGCATACATTAGAAGGATCTTTAAAGTAAGGGAAGGTTAAAATCTGTGTCAGAGCTAATATTGTAAAATTTTGTGTGCAACCTTTGGTGAAGAAGTGAATAAAGTACCAGAAAATCCCTCCTGTTGAGTCTTTGTATGTCAGGATCACAGAATTTTTCAGGTTAAAAAAAAATGACAAAACAACATCAATTACCTTAATGAAATGGCATCTTCCTTTGGTCCATGAGGTAACAGAAACTTAAATCATAATTAGCACAATGACTCAACGTATTTTTGGCAAGTGACTGTTGTTTCTAATTAGATTTTTAAGATGTTTTCTCTAAGAGATCAGCTTTCCTGACTTCATATTTTTAGAGCAAGAACAGTCAGAAGGGATCAGAGCTATTCTTGGGACAAGAAAAACAAGAACTCTTGGGGGCATCTGAAAGGTATTTACAGCCATTTTATTCATCAAAACAGGATCATTCTGAAAAGAGAGAAGATCAGGTGAAGCCATTCAAGTGTGACATTCTGTGAGTTAGTGATATTATACCTGCAGCCAATAGGTTTGGAGAACTTTGAACTCTCTTCACAGATGTTAACGTAACAGACATGGCGGCACGCTTGCGAGCACACCCACCGCTATCTGGAAGCAAAAAAATGAAATAGCAGAGGCCAAGGCAAACAAGAAAAGCACATGCAACATCATGCATTTTAAGTGAAATGTGCCAGACTTTCATGAGAAGGGTGATTAGAATTAGTAATCATGGAATACATCTACAAATTTCACACCCACCTGCAAACTGAAAAAAAGACAACAACAAAAGAAAAGATAAAAAATTAGGAGTCTGCCTCAGAAATAAACGCCAATGTCTTAATAAAACAATGAAAGATTTTATATGCAATGTTTTATAGTTTTTGTTGAATGAAAACAGGCACAGAACTCAATTTTCCTTATATCATTTAAATTCAATTCCTACCAAATCTACAAGCAGTGTACCTAGTCTTAAAGTTTTGGACTACTTATATTTCAAATTTAAATTACAGTGTAATAATTTTTAATCTTTCATTTAGTTTTTACTGTGTTCTAGATGTTGTGACTTCTAAAGACAGCTTGTGTAATTCTTGAGATAAAGTGACTGACATAAATATGATATATTGACACAATATTTATAACCATCAATATGACAATATAATCATCACACATAATCTCTTGTTAATTATACTTGTTTGTTTTTTCTTCAATTAATAGGGGAAATATCCATTCTGTTTACTTGATGTGAAAAAACTTTAATTACTAATACAATGATTGAAGCAAGATAGTAGAAAATTATTGCTGAAAGTGTCACACACTATAAGATCAATGGATCTCAAAATTGATGGAGCGATTCTCTTATCAAAATGTGATCATTTCTAAAATAACAGTTTCCTTACACCCACAGAAAACATTTAAACCAGAAAACTTATTTCAACATGAAAAGAGAGAAAACCAAATGAATCAAACTCATGCTACCAAAACGAATGAACAAAAAAAGCACAGTGGTATTAACATAAAATTGAAGACACCTTCAATAGAATTTAAGCAAATTTGACAAACTAGAAACAACTATGACAAATGTCTGAAAAAACTGAACATACAGCTAGCAGACACACCAGTAGCTACTGACTGATCCCTACTCTAATATGGGTTTTACTTTAGTACTTAGTTTTTTTTAGCTTTTATATCTGAAAATAAGTAGAAAGATGAGAAGTAAAAATTCCAGACTCAAAAGATTAAGGTCATGGGCCAAATGCATGATGCTCCAACTGCAGACTAGGAGAGCTCCAGCTACCTCAGTGCAATTGATGACAAGTTGGGGAATATTTCACATTTCTAAAAAAAAGTGCAGTGCTATTTGCTGGACACTGCAGAAACACTGGCTTGAGGTAATTCCATTTCAGTGTAAGAGATGGTGCTATATCCCTGGTAATGACTTCATGTCCTCGAAAAACTGCATTTGAAGTGGCTGCTCTGATTAAAACAAAACAAAAAAACCACCAATATACTTAGACCAATAAATGAAGAGTGACAAGCATATTTGTAACATGTTATGTAATTGTCACATTAAATGGAGGCCTTAAATTACTGTTTCTTTTTCAATCTAAGTGTATTATTTTGTCAAATAATTTCTAAGTTGTTAGGACATGAATAGTTTTCCACTATGCTATGGGACTCCTGGAAAGAATTTCTAGTGCTGGAAAGCACTCTGATGAGTCGATCATAAATAGTGAATTATTTGATAGTATTCTCTTTTCTTTAATAGTGAGGATGTCTCGCAAATTCTAAGAGGGAGATACAACACATTTTGTCTATTATCCTACACTGCTTAGTTTTCCACTATGAGTAGTAATCCATACTACCATTGGCTAATTTTTTTATGTATTTAACTCAGAGTAAAGACCTAATTCAAGATATTTTAAAATCTTAAATAATGAAGGCCTATTTTGCTTATTTTCTACTTAGCAGCCAATTTATACCTTCCCAATATAGTGGTAGTGCCTCTAACTTAACTCAAGCAATATTTATATACACATATGTTAATGTGTTGTTTTTGTGGTAACATTGTGATATTCCTTGGGAATTATAAACCAAACATTTTAGTTATTTCTCATCACTTTTGTGCATAAGTGCGAATATCCTATTTTTCTTGAATTATACTTGTGTAATAACTCTATGCAAATCAACGCCCCATCCAAGGTCAACTTATTCTTTATTTATGACAGAATGCTTTTAGAGGATTATGTGCAGATTGCTAAGCAGTAGGTGGGCTCAGGTACCCAAAGACTTAAACAAACTTACCAAATCCTATTTGCCTACTTTGCTAACAGAAATTGAATTCCATGAATAATGCTCCTTCTTGAATGTTTTGGGCTTTTATGAACATAGTATATGTCATATAATCATTCACATAAATTTGTATATATCTTTAAAATAGACATTATTAATAAATAATGAAATTAAGGATATTGGGAAGTGATGCTTAGCCCTTGTCTTCCTGGAGTTGCATCAGAACAATCAGTATTTGTAAATTCCTGACAAAGGCATTTTGCTGGAGTAACTGTAATGCCTCAACATGGCTTGTCCTACTGTGGCCTATTTGCTATCATCAATCTCCTTTGCCTCATGATATTTTCTGTTTTGCTTCCCACATCTAATAATGACGTCTGCATTTGCCAAAATGCCTTGAGTTGATTCATTCCTAGGAATCACATTTCTCATAGTTTCTAAATCTTCCTCACAATTGGACTGTGTTCTAGCCTGTTCCTCTCCACTGCTGTGAATCAGCTGCATTATCCAGATCCAGACAGCACAGCATCTATAAGATCAGTGACAGCAGGTCTCTGCTTGGGAGCAGCCACAGGAGGATGGGCATGACCAATGGCTCTACACTTGATCTAAGGATTAGAGATGAATTAGTTTTCCCCAGTGGTTGCTAATCTTCCCTCTGGGTATGTGGATTACGATTACTGAGCTCCAAAAGACAATGAGCTTGATAGGAAAAAATATCTTGGGTCATCTTTTTTCTTTGCTATGGAGCAACTGCCTAAAACAGCTTTCCCAGAACCTTTGTGTATAGGAAGTGATATCATCTGAACACAAATGGTAGCATCTCAGTGAGGAAGTATTTTTCAAACTACTTAATAATGTACAAAAAATTGGGGCGTGGTGGGAGATGAAATTATAAATCAAAGCATGGTTATTGCACAAAGCTCATAGATACATAAAATACATCACAATCATCTACAATTAAGTATTCCATATGGATTTCAGAATAATGATGTCATTGAGCTATTTGGAAGTACAGTTCTGATAGCTAAAAGTATAAACTTAAGACTACATGTGTATTATGACTGTAGATTAATTACACTAACTTTAAATAATGTTCTGGCATTCTACCTGGTACGTTTGTCTACACAGAGAGTTTGCAGAGTGGCCGAGTTTAAATACTTTCCATTGGAGCTACTTGGCTTTGAATTTATAAGAAAGGAAAAGTTTCAAGAGTCTGCACCAAATGACATTAATCTGTTCTTAGTCTTCATAGGAATTAATTCTAAAAGATGATTGGAGACAGGGGGAGTAGCAGCTGATAACAGAACAGAAAATTCTACTTTTGATGATAGTAGGATTGGAGCATGAAGACGAAGATGTCAGATAATGAATGTATACTGCATATCTAGTTAGAGAACTAAACTAAGAATTTTTGGCAATGATGCCTTTTAGAGAGCAAGACTAAAGAATTTTTAACTAACAGAGACAGCATACCTGTATTCATTTTGACCTTGAAGGGTTTGCTATTAAAGTCTTCAGTTTTCCTGTAGGAAAAAAATGATGCAAAATTTGTTCACAAGTATGTGGAACAAAATATCATGAAGGCTTATTTTTATTTTTGTGTGCCAGCTTATTAGTATCACAATAACATTAGTCTTATTTAAATTGGGACTTCATGCGGTACACAGACCTTAAAATTCTGCTCAAGTTCAACTTGAGCTTGACTGATCCTATGATCATAAATTTATGTTTTTGGGTATGGTAATTGTTAATGGAGCACTATGGAGAATTTTTGTTTTTAAAATTAAATTTCTTTTGTAAACATTTATATGGATTTTGTTGTCCTTTAAGAATGAATATATCATTGGTTGCTAAGTGTCCTCTTCCAGAATTTTGAAAGGTCCCCTGTTATATTTTTGAAGTTATTACCTTATGTGTGTAGTTCAACTCATTGCCAGGGAAAATATAGTGCACTTCATTCACAATTTGAAGACAGTGAAGAAAGATGAGATTTATCTCTATTTTTATCAGATGCAGAAGTAAATGATTGCTACAAAATCCATTTTTTGTTTTAGATTCAGACACTATGCTTTCCCCTCCCCCACCCCCTGTTGAAGCTGAATGGTATTTTGCAAGTGAAAATAATGCATTAGAAATGGTTGGTCAATTAGCGTTTGTCTCAGAGGAAAGTCTTTAACATTGTGTACTTGATTACATGTGAGATGATGTAGTTATTTCTCTGGCATTTTCTATTAGCCATTTTTAGACTTGCATTTTATCCATGCCTAAGACCAAAGAGGAAGGGCACACGTATAAGGAAGGAAACCTGCCTAGATCAAGAACTCTAAAAGAAATGTTTAACCCTAGCTGCTTTACCTATCCAAACATCCACACAAAGTTACCCAACACAGCACATTCACAATTGCAATGCACTTACACTCTAACATCTAATAATTCTTAACATTTTATTTATCCTAATAGATGAGCAGAAATAGGGTTGAAATGAAATTGCTATCATGATCATTGGTTGATAAATACCCTGTCAGTCAACATATTTTGAAAATGTAAAAGAAGGCAGCAGTGGAGAGTATTCTGGTTCTCTTGGTGAGGAATCTTATTCCCGCCTCCCTTCTGACCACTCGCCTGTGTTAAGGAGTTCTGCTCAATGAAACATCCATTATGGTGTTGTAATGTGACTACTGAAGTACATCTCTTGTAGAAGGTCTGCCTGTGTTCAGTCCAACAGTGAAAATGTCATAATAAAAACAAAATGTGAATGGCAACTGATTTTAATGATATCTGTCTTTTCTCCCAGTAGGGGGAAAATGGTAAAATAATACAAAACATAATCCTGAACCAAGAGGAATAGGGTCTCTCTTTTCTGTCTCGCTCACTCTTGCTCTCTCATTGTCCTTTACACTTCTTGGGCTCTCATTTCTTTTTACCTAGATTGAATTAGGAATGCCTATGGGGTTCAATAAACAATACATCAATGACTATATAGGCATACAGAATGGGTATAATCACAGTATTGATTTTCACCCCTATCTATTTTTTTCAGAGCTATAAATTGAAAACAATTCAGGTGGTAGCCTCACTACGTGGTGTTTAATTTTGGGATCACCTGCTTATGTTTGGAGTCCATTTGTCCTGGAACGATAATGCTGCGTGGGAGAAGCAGGGCATTAATAATCCTCAGAGCCTCCACATCACTCCTGAGTTACCCTAACAGTGCCGTGAACTGCACAGTGAATTCTCATAGGCCAATTGACTTTACACAGTGACTGAGGGAAATTTTTCCCTGACTTTTCATTGTTTACAAATAAAGAAGCACATGCTGGTTTTGTTTATTTGGCTCCTGAATTACACAGGAGATGTGATATATTTCTGAGAAGTTGACATTGTAGCCTCACGTCATATCAAAGGGTATCAGTGGGATGGATGCCAGTGAAGCCTGTGAAGGGGGCAGTGGTCGGCATGGAAACTTTGAGAAAGTTCCCTCAACTGTATTTATTTTAATCTCTTAATACCAAAACTCCTAATAGGTTATCCTTACATGGACAGAATAAATGGAAAAGCAGAGCCTCAGGGGATGTCTGTGACCAGGGCCCAGGCAGCTTCTAAAACAGGAAAGGAGAAATGATTTCCAGAAAATGAAGATTTAGAGGCACATTTCTCAAATTCTATTTTATCACCCCTTTTAGAACCAGGCAACACTTTATGTTAAATATCGCTGCTGGTTTTTAAGCTGAAAGACAGATAGTATTTGGCCTAATTGAGACAGAAAACACCTAACACAGAAGGAAAATGAAGTCTGACACTGTAAAACCTGATAATAGATAATGATAATGTTTTTATGCCACATTAGAGAACTAATGGCAATATTTATTCATTGTATCAAATGAAGATATTTGCAAAACATACAACACTGAAGAAGTAAAATAGAATTAAGGAGCACAAAGAGGCGCCACAAATCCTTGAACTTCTCATCTTTAAAGTGATGTATCCTGTTACTTGTGAGTGTAATTTGTGAGGTTTTCCAACTTTGCATTGTTTTGGATGTCAAGATGTGAAATGACTAACTTCCTAATCAGGCAAGACATTTTCCAAGTTGTTGAAAGAGCCACAGTGTTTAAGCCCTCAACAAGAAGCTGATACCCAAAGTCTACTTGGGTGACTAACAAAAATGCATGATTCTATTGTCATATTTACACTAAAGCTATTGAGAAATTGATAACTGAGCACTCTCCCCAGACAGTTTAAAGTGAATTCGATCCTTTTGTTCTGTTCTGAAAAAGCCGCTTTGGTTATGCTTGCGTAACTTGCTGTGATTATTCTGGAAAGCATCAAATTCCTGGAGTATTTGCATGTTCCTGGAAGACAATATTTCTTAAATTGTATTAAATAGTGCTTGGTTCAATTGTACTTAAGGCCAAGACTAGAAAAATGGCTTGTAAAAATACAGAGCTTGAAGTTTAGCAGATAACCCACAGAGCATGAAATCCTCTGTACATTAGGAGGTCAAAATGATTTTTAAGAGGTATTATGAAGCTGTATTTGCTTAAATTCAGTTATTCCCCAAGCTTTTTTAAAATACAAGCATCAACTTCATTTGTATCTTGATTTGGGTGCAGCAGTTGATTTATTTTCTTTAAGTACATGGCAATAGATTGTGTTGTTCATACCTTGGCAACAACATGATTTTATGACTTCGGGTTGAATTTTACCTCAGTTTCTTTTGATTACAGACCATCTTGTTCTGGTGGGGTTTCCACACCTCCCTCCCCCTTTTTTTTAAGGAGCAAAAGAACTTTTGTCCTCAAAGGTGCATTAAAGAATAGATTGGTATTTCAATATTTCAATGAAAGTGCAAAGAGGCTTCCCCTCCACAATGAGCACCCAATGTGACTACATTTGTAGTCATACGCTCATAATTACGGTTGCACTCTTTTGAATATCAGGCTACCCATTCTGTCTGCCCAGGGTGCAGAAACAAGATTCTTTCCTCAATTTTGGCCAAGAATTTGAAGTCATTTTGTTCTGTTAGATGAACTTGATCACGTGGGTCATTTAGCAAACTAGAGGATGAAATTAGAACTCAAGTGATGTGAGCTGATTTCCCATGGATTAATCTCAATTCAGTATATTGGTATAGTTATTTTGAAGTTGCTGTTTATCATTAACACACCATTCAATAAAAAGGACACACAGATAGTTTAGGTGGTAGAAAAATATTGTGAGAGGTTATATATTTTGAGAGATTTATATATAAGAATAAAAAGATGATGAAAAGTCTGGGCGTTGTGGTCCAGTTAGCTAAGCTATTTTCTGTAATGTCAGCATCCCATATTGGAAATGAAGACCCAGTTTGCATCCTGGCTACTCTGCTTCACTTCCAGCTCCCTGCAATTATGCCTGGGAAGCCAGCCAAACTAATTCCAGTCAGTGTGACCATTTCAAGAGTGAATGTATGAGTGGACCATCTTTCTCTCTCCATCACTCTATTGGTTAAAAAATAAATAAATAAATCACATGATTATTCTTAAGGTCTATATCAGATTTTCACCATGACTTTACTTATTTACTTAGATTGGGGTCATTTTTACCCCTTTTTTCTGGATAAACTATTATTGCATTTCTCCTTCTCACTCTTTAACAGTGAGAAGATTAGATGCTAAATGATTCAGTCTTCAATTAGAGTAAAATGACTTAATTTGGGTTGACATTCAGATTATCTTTTCAAACATATCAACATGTTTCTTTGGAATAATCACAGGAAAACTGCAAATGGTATACTGTGTCCTTTTCAGTTCTGAGTTTAGAAACATGAGAATCCACCTCAACCTTTTTCTGAATAATTCTCCCTAATTGGCAGCCTGATTGTGATGCCAACTCAGAGCCTCCTCTGCCAATGAGGGGGAGGTTCTAAAGTCACCACAGGGCATAGTCATTCACACTCATCATTCCAATTTTAGCATATGTGCTGCTGATGTGAGCACGCCATTCACGCTCATAAAAAACACCGAATCCTCCCAATACTCCTAGGCCAATGGTGCCTGAGATACATTCTACACACTCAGGAACCAAATCACCCAATGCATTTATACGTGTCTGCTAGTATCAGATCACAGTGTACATTATTTCCAGGATTAAGTACTCTGAATCTTAAAGAAACAAAAGTGCATGAAGCTATCGACTTTTTGAATAAGAATAAACAGTATCCTTTAAAAGTACTCCAAATTTTCTAAGACCTAAAATTTTTTTTCTGAAAGAAAAAAAAAACCACTGTACATCTTTTCAGGGAACTAGCAGCTTCAAAAAAATACAGATCTCCCTCAGAGACTATATTGGTTAGAAGTTGATAACCCGGTGAATGCTTCTCTTCTTGATGTCATTGCGAAGCCTTAAAGTCACAAATCTATTACAAGAATGTGAGTTTCTTTTTGTTTCATATGATTATGTGACTTAATAATGCTCCAGAAGCTTGCTTTTGTATGCCCTTTATTTTTATATTGTAATTTTTTACAGATAATTACAGGACATA